ACATATATAAGTATATATATAATAAAAGAAATATAAACAAAAATCTACATAATTTTCCTTCAATTGAATCTTCACTATCAAAAGAAAAAAACATAAACATTTTAATTTTATAACATTATATTACAACTTAAGCATATAAAACTAGAATATAAATTAAGTATATGAGTCAGATATACAAATTAAGTATATGGATCAGGTATACAGGTCAGGTATGCGGGTATTGATTCTCATACCCAATACTTATCCGATACTTAACATGTATACATTTTTTATACTCAATACTTACTTATCTCTTTATAAATACAAGTAAAATATTTATTTAAAAAAATCAAGTACCTATAAATATAAGATATACCTGTACTCGATGCTCAACCCTACTTCCACCCACTCTCAGTTCAATTGAGGTCGACTACCGAGTAACAAGCGCGTTCAAAGTTCAAACCCAACATCAGAATCCCTAGGTGTGGTTTTTTCTTTTTTTGGGTAGAGATCGATAGGTGTGCATCTGTGTGTCTTTTATTTATTATTTGCATTTGCATCCTATACATTGTTTTGATAATTAGGGTTTATTTAACCCTTTTCTCATCTTAGTCTCAACGACCAACAGGATTAAAAATAAAAATAAAAACCGCTTTTTTAGGTGTTTCCATTCTAGAAGATTGGGTTGGGGCAGTGTCTTAAGAGTTAAGGCCGTAGCCCTTCTCTTTTTCCTTGACACTCAAATGCTCTTAACTTTCTCAATTGGAATCCTCAAAATCTGTTTCTTTTCTTACTTTATTTTATTTTATCTTTCTAAAGCCAGATAGATCTGTATGTTCAAAAGATGGAATACGAATATGATAATTTGATATGAAAAAATCAAGTTAATCTTTTACATTAATTTTCTTTTATTATTCGATAATGTAAATTTCTCTTTATTTTCTATTATCTTCTATATATATTTTGGTGCTTCTACTAATGGTTTAATTTTTCATTTTCAAGGTTGATTATTTTGGTGAATAACGGCGCAGCATTTTGAAAGTAATTTTATACTTATATTTTTATTTTTTCCATATATTATGTTAATTTATTTTCATGCTTTAATTTATTTGATTAAATTTGTGGTTATATATATATATGAATTTGATTTATTTTTGTATTAATGTTGGCTTTCTTTTGCAAATGTCAAGTATTTTTGAGTTATTTTTATTTCCTTACATATATGGAAATCTAAACATAATTATTAATAAATAAGTATAATAATAATTAAAAATTATAAATGGTCAAAAAATAAAAAATAAAATAAATAAGAAATATATATAAGTGACGATATTAAATTAAATTTTTTAATAGTAAATTGTATTATAATATTTATTATGTTAATTACAATTGATTCAATAATTTCATTTTTTTTTTTTTTTTGCAATCTACAGGCTTAATTCGGTCAATAATTTTGACCAAATTAAAATGAATAATTTGAAACGTTAATTTACTTCAATCACTAAGTTCAATCAAAATATTATGAAATATAATGCAATAGTAAAACTATTTCGGTCATACATTTTAACCAAAAAAAAAAAAAAGAAATTCATTAATAAATAAATTTGCCTTTTTTCGGTCAAATAATTTGACTGAAATATGGGTAAGAGAAATTTACTACCAGCCTCATTGCAGCAAGCTTCTTCACAGAAAATATTCTGCATAAAATATCAAAAATACCCCTCCCCTTGAATTCGGTCATGTAATAGTTGGGTCCAATGTTGCTTCCAAATACATAAAATAAAATAAAATAAAAAACAAGTTGAAGGCCAAGTGCAACTAGAAAGAAAGAAGTGGAACAAGAATGCCAAGAAAAGTTTTCCACGCAAAACGGGCTTTAAATGTGTGGCGGTGGCCGAATGTATTGACCCATCTCAGCGGCCCACATCTACTCAAGTTCAAACCCACGGCAACCTTAAGAGAAAATCGAGCCCACCTCAGCAGTTTACCTGCCACCGGTTCAAACTAGCCACACTCCCCCTTCACCAAAACACACTGTTTAAGCAACGTATTGCTTGAAAAATCAAAAACACCCTAAATCCCCCATTTTAGCCAGCACACTTTTTCTCTCCTCTGCAGCATCGTCGATCAACTCCTCCACTTTTCTGTTTCGATCACGAAAGTGACGAAACAACCACCACAACCACAGCCTGCAAACGGCTTAGCCACCACCAAAGATCCATCTTTTCATCCTTTCCATACTATTCTTTTCTTACTAGAGAATTTCCACCGTGGTAGTGTCGTGCATAACATCGAGAGCTAAATAAAGTAATTTAAGTCCTCAGAAAGATAAAAACCACTCACAATCACCAGACATCAAATGATCAAAAGGAGTTCTACTAAGATATTTTGTGGTTTACTTCACATAATTTATGTTTCCTTTTTCATTAGTATTTACTGAATTGAACTGATTTACAATGAATACGTTATCATTTCTTTGTCTTTTTTTTCTTTCTCTTTGGAAATTTAAAATTTAAAATTAGTAAAATTCACATCAGGCAGCTAATGAAGTTGAAGTGCAATTTATTGATGCAGCTTTAAAGTACAACAGTTCGTACACACAATAAAAACAAGAAAAAACAAAGAAGCGTAGGCAAAAGAATACATAGCCAAAGGCTACCACCAGCAGATAAACATTCGTCTTCAACGGATCCTCCTCATCATTCTCCTTCTTGACATCCTAATTCAGTAAGTCCTCATCAGCCACTCACATGTTCTTGCAAAACCAATGTTTCCAATCATCAAACTAACAAGGAATCCACATCCACAACCCAACGCCACTGCTTTCCAGCCAAATTCAGCTAGTAATCCAGAATCTTCATTTCCTTTAGAGTTGGAAGATGGTGGAGGCGAGGCCTTTGAATTGTCACATTTCCTTCACATTGGCAATCCACACAACCCTAAATTCCCATCAAATGAGCTACTATCAAATGTATCAAATTGTTAGCTATTCGGGATAAGTCCTGTCAAATAGAAATTCACTAATAAATAAATCTGCCTTTTTTCGGTCAAATAATTTGACTGAAATATGGGTAAGAGAAATTTACTACCAGCCTCATTGCAGCAAGCTTCTTGATCGAAAATATTCTGCATAAAATACCAAAAATACCCTCCCCTTGAATTCAGTCATGTAATAGTTGGGGTCCAATGTTACTGAGAGATTGATATAAAAAAATATTATATGATACCTGGCTTAATTATATACAATTTAGAAAATGGGACTACATTGACGAAATTAATAAGTTGAAGGTATAAAATAATCCAGAATCTTCATTAAAATTAAAATTAAAAAAAATATAAAATAAAAGAGATTTTTTTGATATGATAGATAATTAAAATTAAAAGATAATCATAAAGGTTTAATAGGAAAAAAATATTTATCTCCCACAAAATTTGAAAAAACTATAACACACCTCCTTAGGCACTCTTAGTCCTAGAAGAGTTTGGAAACAAAATCTATAGTAAAAAATTGCAGCGGAAGTAAAAGCACTTATGATATAAAATATTTCTTCAAAAGAAAACCTACATTCAGAAAATCAATTTAATAAAAAGAATATCATATATATATTGGAAAATGTCAAAATATTCAAAGTTATAAGATAAACTGAGTTAAGCTCGTTTATAATTAATTTAAAGATTTTATACATAAAGGTAATTTACACAAAAATTATACGAGGCAAATTCTTCTTCAAAGCTTTTCAAAAAACAAAAGCTAAGTCATGGTTTTGGTAACACATCGATCTGCCTCCCTATCGAAAACACGAGGCCTTAGTTGGTACATACAACGAGCATGCGAATCCCGTGCCAAAAGCTCATAAACCAAGAGGCTGCTACCTCGATCTACTGATCTGAAATGAGGGGGGGAATTTTATGAGCTCACAGCCCAGTAAGTAATAAGTTTAAGTTATAAACTTGGGTCCTAAAACTTTTAGACCTATCCACACAAAAGGCACAAGACACAGCGAAATCAAATCATAAGCACGAATGTCAAGGAATAATCAATGACATTTAAATTGAATTCATATACTAAAATTATATGCTCACAAATATAATGTCACAAGCACAATGCATAAAATCGAAAATCACACAATGCTATGGAGTCCACTGAGGTGTGCTAGCAACACTGTACTAGAGCTAATCACAGTACTAACCCTACTGCGCAGAGGTCCACTAAATACCCCGAAGGGTCCACTGAATACCCCAAGTTTTAAGCTTAGGTCCACTTACTCCATAACCACAAACACATACACATGTCAAACAAATTCATAATATATCCAAAATAATATTAGGGCTTCCTATTGAAAGAGATCAAAGCATAATGTGTGAACAATAATTGTGAACAGTAATCATAATCAGTAATTGTGAACAGTAATCATAATCAGTAATTATGAACAGTAATCATGAATAGTAATTGTGAACAGTAATTATGAACAGTAATTCGTAAACAATCCAATTTCCTTCTAATTCCTGCAGCAAAAATCACACCCAAATCAAACAATAGAAAGGACTAACTCACTATTTTTGCCATATAAGCCCCAAAATTAAGGATATTTCTAATAAAAGTTTAATACCCAAAGATCTTATAAACCAAAGGATTAAAGTCAAATCTCACCAATTTAAACTACCCAAAACTCTAATCCAAAATTCATAACTAAAACTTATACTTACCTAATAAAAGCACCTTAACCTTGGTTGGGAGAAAGAAGGAAGAAAAGGATGGAGGTGGAAGAGGAAGGCATAGGAGAACAAAATGGGGCTTTTGGGAGGCTTCTGGAGGCTTATCCAAGCTTCCACCGACAAGACAAAAAAACTTGGTTGGGAAAATGCCATGTGGTAAGTAAAATTGGGATAATTGAGTTATGGTCATTCAACTTCTACTTAATTCTACTTAAGGCCCTCAAACTTTAAATTCAATCAATTTAATCCCTAAAACTATAAACTAAAGGACACTCATTCTTAAATTATTCACTAAGGTATGTGGGGTGTTACAAAAACACTATTATTTCATAACAAATTCTAAATTAAAAAATGTCAATTATTTTAAGACACAAGGAGTAAAATTTTGTAATACATTACATAATATAAAATGATATTGTGTCACTCAGCTCTTGTTTACTTTTTTTTTTTTAATTCTTAGCCATTCATGTGAAAAAAGATGAAATTTAAATTACGTTTGTTTATGTGTTTTTAACTCTATAATTAAAAAACTTTATTATTATTTTTTTTTAAAAAAAGAGACCTTAGCCTCTTTTATTCCTAACTAGTATTTTTTAACACATTAGACATCCCATTGCTGTCTTTCTTTCTTCCTTTGTCCAAATCTAAAGTTACTCTCTTGATAAATTGACTAATGGATAAATAATGAAACTTGAAAGAAGGGGAATTTCTGCCCTACATGCACGTTTTACCCTTAATACAAGTTTGTGTGAAACCCTAGTTATGGAGTGGAAAGTGAAAAGTGAAAAACTTTTGTGATTGATGATTTTTTGTTTATATTTCTTACTTCATTTAATAAAGTAATGGTAGACAAAAAAATAAAAACATAAGTAAGTGTAGAGCAAACAAGTCTCATGATTAACTTGACAAATTAACTAATGATTTAAGTGGTTTAGTGATCTTTTCTTCAAGTAGAGCAAGAGATTTTATATTCAAGTTGTAGGTATGTGGGTGGGATGTGTAAAAGAATAAAAAAAGCTATTTTCTATTATGCAACCTAAATTTTTTTTAAAAAAATTACAAATTGAATAACTCCAAAATGGCCACTTAGCTTAAATGGTATTCATAATTAAGCCCCTTAAGTTCATTCACCGTAACCCTACAACATAAGTGTGAATTGCACATAATAATTAATGCTCTGACCACAGATACCTGGATGCAAACCTAGTTCTATGATCAAGAATCCTTTGTTTTTTTACCCTTTTTATTTTAGTTTAACGGTTAGGATGTTTGCAAGCTAGCTTACATGCATCTCAAAACTAATTCATCCCTAATCTAATTAAAGACAGGTCATCCACACTAGAATTAGGGAATTTATATGGGGTTATCTTCTTATTGGCTTTTCCAAGAAATTGAGTCTTGATCAATAAAGTAAAGAATAAATCCACTTACCAACTAAGCCATAACTCTTTGGGTGAGAACCCTTTGGCACTCCTTCAATTAAGGCAATAGGTTCTGCTCCAATCCAAGGAGCTACTTCTTTATCCAGTTTTAGCAAGCCAGAGGGTTGAATTGACAATGAATGAACACAAGAGGCTTAATTGCAAAATCCTTTATGTACAGGAGCTCATTAGGAGTTTTTCTTTCTAATTGAATTCACATCCACTATTTTCCTTTCTTTTGTTGCGACAGGGAAGACTGGAAGTATATTCAAAACCAACTATCCACATATTGTATTGCTCTGTATTGACCCACTATCTTCGTGTCAAAACTTAAGGAATTCATCAGTTGAATATTCTGATAAATAAGTGTTATTTTATAAATAAAATTTAGAGTTCAAATCTTAAGTTTAATATCCAAAAAAATTAATTTTCTTAAATGTATCAAGTAAATATGAAAAATGTACCTTAAGATAACTTAGTTTTGAAATTCATAAAAATTGATTAAAAAAATATCCTGATAGTAAATACCAAAAAAAAAAAAAAAAACCTCAAAGAATCACATAAAATAATGTCCTTTAAGAG